CAAATTATCACAAATATTATATAGGTAACGGAAATTTGATGCAACAAAAAATTCAGAAAGGCTATTAGAATATTAAAGTAAACCTTCGAATTCTTTGTGCATCCCCGTGCAAAATGCCCTTCTTCACCACATTTGTAGCACAGAGTTGGGGCTGAAACACGTGAAATCTCTCCACGTGGCTTTATACATCCCTGAATATGTAGATAGAAAGCAAGATAAATTCAAGGGTACAGGATGAACAAAATAACATAAAGAACGAAGATCAAATAATTGTGCAACTTACTTGACCAGTGTGACCGGCTTGGGCACAATTGTAACAGGAGAGATCTCTTGGACCACTATCAACAGAGTCGACACAACAAAGGTGTCCATAGTTCTTGCAAACATAGCACTGTATTTCCTGCTCAATCGAATATATTAACTTTTACTGTATGATACCACAGCAAAAATTCAACCACCAGAAAATTTTCAACACTTACTATGATGAAAAAAAAAGCGCTAACAGTATATAATGCCAACTTTATAAATATAAGAACACCCCCGCACTATAGCAAAGTAAAGGAGGGGGAAATGTAAGAATGGACACAAAAAAAGGAAGTGTTAGGAACATCATTAACCTTCAGATCATCAGGTGCATAATCATTTTTGCATGATAACATATCATGTCCAGCACCTCCACATCGTAGGCAGATAATGGAAACCAGAGGAATACTCTTATTCTTATCTGGGCAGTTTTTTGCAATATGGCCTCTCCTTTTACATATAAAACAATCTCGTCCCTGCAAGGGATAAATAATAAATATATGGCCTAGCTTACAACTTGGCTATAGCCAATCAAAGACAACAAACTGTATGCACAGGTTACTTTACATGAAGAATATCAGGGGAAAATACTTAAAAAATATTTCAGAAACCACTCTACCATGTAGCCTGGAAATGCTCACTCCAGTCGTCCTATCAAATTAATAGCCTACATATAACCACATATCACTGACAGGAGATATAGGACCTTAGAAACCCTGCTCATTTTTTTCTGTGTCACCATGGCAAATGTTTCATCTCTCTTCAAAAGGAAGAGGCAACCAAATCCTATGAAGCACCGACACTCCATTCTTGGGCCCGAGTCCGTGTCTGACACGTATCGGACGCGAGACGCGTCCGACATGCCGTCGACACGCGGTCAACGCCCCCGACACGCGTCAATGCCCCCGACACGTGTCTCTAGGGCTGGGCATATTCGGTTCGGTTCGGTTTTATGCCCAATTCGCATCCAATCCGAATTTTTCGGATTCTCAAAACTCTCATCCAGATCCAGATTTTTTCCCCTTCATCCGAATATTCGGCCCAACCGAAATTCGGTTCGGTTCGGTTTCGGTTTTGAATTTGCAAAGAGTTCTATCCAAAGACTTCTGTTGTGAATTGTTCGGTTCGGTTTCGGTTTTGAATTTGCAAAGAGTTCTATCCAAAGACTTCTGTTGTGAATTTGCAAGATGGGCATTATCCTCATGATGAGGTTCCTGAGCTCGCTAACAAAGCTTTATTAGACTGGTTATCATCTTTAGAATAAAGTTTTGAGTTGATATAATTACGCAGAGAATTGATGTTTTAAAGATGTTGTTCATATAATACAGCATGCTTATCTCTTGTAAGTATCATGTACATAACACATTTTGTGATTGATTTGAATCTTATGTAATTCTCAAGATCTTTTCTGCGAAATTTTTTAACTAAAGTTTAAGTTTATTTAATTACACGGGGGAGTGATGTTTTGTATGATATTGTTCATATAATGTAGCATATGCATCTTTTGTAAGTGCATCATGTGCATAACAAATTTTCTGGATTGATTTGAATCTTTACTTAGTTCTAAGGATATTTTTCTTTGATATTGCTGTACTAATTGCTTGAAACTGTTCCTTGCGCCGTTTGAATCTATTGGATGATAACAGGAAAAGTTTTGAGGTATAAGTTTAGTCTCTAAACCGCCTAACAGAATTCGGGTCGGTTTTTTTTAGGCGGTTCAGGGGTTCAAACCGGATCCAAACCGATTTAATTCGGTTCAGGCGGTTTAGAGACTTCTTCTCATCCATTTAATTCGGTTCGGTTAACCGGTCCGTTTTTTTGGACGGTTTTTTCGGTTGAACAGTTTTTTTTCGATTTTTGCCCACCCCTACGTGTCTCGGCACGTTCTCAACTCGCCGAATTCTGCCCGATTCATTCTCGACACGCGAATTCACCCAAAATACCCCTATACCATCAAAAAAACCCAAACCCTAGACCTATCGATCGAGCGGCAGCCTCTCATCTCTCTCTCTCCCCCTCTCGCGATCTCGTTCTCTCTCTGAATCCTCTCTCTCTCTCTCTCTCTGAATTTTTATATGTTTGCAATGTTAGACTTGTTAGTAACTTAGTATTTTGTGTTTGAGGATTATATTTTAGTTTGTTGTTTGAATTTTATAAATTTATCTATATATAATAACAATATTAAAAAAATCTAGTTGTGTCGTCGTGTCCTATTTTTTGGGTTTTGTCGTGTCCGTGTCCGTGTTGTTGTGTCCATGTCCGTGCTTGGTAGACCAAATCTATCAAGTCTATTAATTGTCAGTGTAAACAGCAGACACACTGTCTCTACTATCTAAATAACAGCAGTTAATAATTATCACATTCGGACTACAAAATTCCCTCTCGACATCCTAATCTTTGAACAACAATTAAGTCCCATTTAATAGCATCACATGATTTATAACTTCACCTATCTCCCTAGAGCAGCTAAAGAGAGAGTGCAGCAAGACAAGAGGGGCATTAAAAAAAGACAAGGGTGGATAGATGATATTGATGGAAGCTACGAAAAGCCAACATCAGTGCATCTTTTCACACCATCATCCATCTACCCAACATATTTAAGAA